GCTGGTTCTAATCCTAATCAAGTATTTGAAGTACATGGAACTGTTACACGTAGTCGATGTGTTACTAATGGTCATATTTATGATTTTCAAGGAGAAACAAATCTTCCAAGAAAATCTCCAAGATGTCATATAGAAGGTTGTAATTCTACTTTACGTCCTGATTGTGTATTATTTACAGAAAGTTTACCTAGAGATCAATGGATGGGGGCAGAAATGGCAACAAGAAAATTAGAATCTGGTGATGTAATGATTATTATTGGTACATCTGCTCAAGTATATCCTGCTGCTGGATTACCAGAATTAGCAGCACGAAGAGGTGCAACATTAATCGATGTGAATCTAGAAAGAACAAATTATTCGAAATTAGAAAATTATGAATATTTGGGAGGTACTGCTGCAACTACTTTACCAGCACTTGTTAACAGAGTGCAACAAATCAAGAAAACAGGCGGCAATGTTGAATCAATCGAAGATTTGAAACATTCTTTATGAATAAAATTTTTTTGTAAAGCTATTTCAATTGTAAATTTTATTTTTATAAAAATCAGTCATATCGTTACCAAACGTACGTTAATGTGGTGTAATCTTTGATAAATAATTTCAAGAATAACTTTATCGAAGAATAAATATTGAAAACAATATCATGTGACATATTTCATCTTACCTTTTTTTTTTGTCAGGGCTTATCAAATATATTTTAAATCTAAGATTACATTAGGGTGAGTGTGGTTATGAGAGTAGAATTAATATCCACACCCAACCATTATTCTTCAATCTTTGTTATTTTGAACAAGTATTTTCCATTTCGATTGTTCATACAAATAGTAAGCTTCTATTTACTAAAAAATATTTGTTAAATTTATGAATGGAAAAGAAATATTTCTCATTAAGTTTTCTTTCAAATTTTAAATAGCGAAAAGTAGTTGTCATAAACCATATAAAACAAATATCTTACTGTTGGCTTTTTATTAGATATTTTTCAAAGTTTATAGAATAGTCTTGGATGAAAAAAATAATTGTGCTGCATATAAAATTACAAAACATTTCAATATTTTGTTTGATAAGTAACAGAGAGATTAACCATCTTGAGGGTGTGGGTGTGGGTGTGGGTGTGGTTATTATATTCTTCTAATCACATTATTAATTAATGACATGAATCAACTTCTCAGTGTAAAATACCCGTATTCACTCTGGAAAATTCGTAGTATTTTCATCTTTGTAACCAAAAAAAAGCTAAATAAAATATGTTCTTATTTCTGTTTATTAAATCTTGTTAAACAAGTGAGAAGACGATAGTGTTAGAAATGAAAGAGATCTATTTTATTATTTGGTTGTTCTACGAATTTATGTCAATGAATAATAAATTGTTCGTTTAAATAAAAATTATTAAAAATACAAAGACATTTGTTATTTTACGATTATTTTATTATTTATTATCAAACAAACAAAACAAAACAATATAGACAAAAGAATCATGTTAACCAAATTTCTATAATTTCTCCATCATTTTTCACATTGATAAGTTGTTCATGAATAATATTCATTGGAAATGCTTGACGACGTTTTTCAATAATATTTTCAAGTGAAAA